TAATCGGATTATAAGGTTGATTGCTGCATTGTATTCCTTCAGATACAAGGTGGGTTAGTCGAAAACATCGTAAACCGTCAGTTTCAGGTTGCTCTGTATTTCAGTTCTCTAATTGGGATTAAACTTGTAGTGAGCTATCGACAAATTGTGAACCGACTATAGAGCACTTGAAAATTTTAAAACGGTAAAAGCCAGTAGTCCAGAAGTACGTTAATTTAATATTTTTGTTGTTTTAATCTATCAAATAAACTTATCATTCTTACTTACTTTACATATACACAAGAACTATTCTCTGCTTTCCACTAGACTAACTGAAATGAGTAAATGTATGACTTTTAATATAAATTTGTTCATGCTTAATTAATCGCGGAATTAATTGGTGTAATTTATAAATATGATAAATTATTTTCTCTATAAATTTCAATAGTTCGCTACATGTTTTTTACTTCATATAACATATGAAACCATATCATACGCGACAGATAAGTTTCAAATTCCTTGTAACCATAATTAACACATTGTTCCGTGAACTTACGCCGGCGAATGCTTTAGCGTGCGTAAAGAAATGTCCCGTCACGAAGCGAAAAAATATTTGTATTATATTTATTACACAAACAATCTTCCGGCACGAAACTGATTCCAGAAGTAAATGCTATAACAAACCACATAATTATTAGTTATTCTAATCGATTTATTAAAACGACTTAATAATGTTATATTCTGCGGTCAAAAACGGAAGAGATCTTAAATGTTTTCATGTATATAAGAAACCTCTGGTGATTATTTTTAAAAATGGTTTACTTCTTTGTTAAATTAAATTGGGATAACATTAACTAAATCCTAATTCACATCTTTGGTAAAAAATTATAACTTACCGTCTCCTTCGAACCTTCGAACTTAAAACAAGTATTGCAGAAGTAATTAGTATAATTGCCTGTTCTATGGTAGCTGGTGCAAACATATCAATATTATGTGCAATGTACAATGTGCAGCCTCCGAACCGGATTGATACCATAAAGACGACCATGGCAAGATATAAGTACAAGCAAAAAACACCAAAACGCAGATGAGAATTACTACATGGAATATTAGATCGCCCAACTCAAGAGATCAAGAAACCCAAGTGATCAAAGAGAAACAAATTGACATGATCAAAGAGACATTTAGCTCTACAGGAAACAAAAAAGAAAGGAAAGGGATAATCAAAATTAGGCGAATACATACTAATCTACAGTAGAGTTAAAAAAGAAAACAGGGCCACAGAAGGTAGAGACCTTCTAATACACCAAAAATATCAAAATCATATAAAACTCTTAATACATATCAGAAAGAATTGTAACATCAAAGATAAGAATGGAGAAGGAAGACCTGAACGTTATTGGAGTATACGGTCCAGAAAATAACAAGCCTCCAACAACAAGGGAAGCGTTTTACGACCAATTACAAGTACTAGATCAAGTCACAGGAAAGATAATAATATTGGGGGATTTTACAAGAGGATTTTTTAACAGAATCACTTGGAGAAAGGACAGTAACGAACACTAACATATAAAAAAAGAAAATTCCTCTCTATACCCATGGTTTAAAGAGAAAGTGAAGACAAAATGATTACAGATTATGACGCATCGAAGAAATTTGAAAATTGAATACTATGAGACGATAGGTGCCTTCGAATTCTATCACAGAATGGAGGCCCTGTTCAATTTTAAAGGTATTTTAAAGGAGGTTCAGCCGTTACACGTTGTAGGCTTTCAATTGGGTTGGTTCAAAAACCTCCTGTAGGTATTCTTAATGATATATTTTGTATAATTTCGAGTTAAGAAAGTACTGTTTTTTTTGCAGAAGAGTAAATAATTCACTTATACTCAAGTTTTAATCTTATAAGTGATTTGTAAATGTGAAGAAGACTTAAAGAATCTGATTCTCAATTATTTTTACATTTTAATGGTAGTATATAGTAGTAGACTAATATCTCTCTTGTCACAAATCTATAAAACTTTTACTAAGGTGATCACAACTAGACTAAACAACAAATTTGATGCATACCAATCAGTTGACCAGGCATGATTTAGAAAGGGGTACAGCACAACCGACCACCTTCACACTCTTAAAATATTGATAGAAAAGACCAACGAATACAACCTTCCAATATACCTAGAGTTTGTTGACCATGAAAAAGCGTTTGACAGCATAGAACTATGGGCAGTGAAAGAAGCGCTAGTTAATTGCCGAATAGATTCACGGTACAGAATGTTAATCCACAATATATATCAAAATGCCACTATGAGAATTCAGCTAGACAGAGATTTGCAAACTCCATTAATTAGAATTTGTAGAGGTGTCAGACAAGGGGATACACTCTCACCCAAACTATTTACTCTGGCGTTGAAAGACATATTTAAACCCATATACTGGGACAATAAAGGAATTTGTGTAAACGGGAAATATTTAAATCATCTAATATTTGCCGATGCTGTACTCCTGATAGCAACAACTATGGAACAACTACGAATAATGATTTCAGACCTAGAAAAAACATCTCTTGAAAAAGGACTAAAAATGAATGAAAACTAAAATAATGACCAATACAGAAGACAGATCAGTAATTAACATAGGTGGAACAGACATAGAATACGTCCAAGAATATATTTACTTAGGACAAGCTATCAGAGCAGACAAAAGTAACCAGACTAAAGAAATAACCAGAAGAATAAGAATGGGGTGGGCTGCATTCGGAAAACACTCATATACTATAAAAAACCAAAAAATACCTTTAAAATAAAGAACGAAGGTATTTAATACATGCGTCCCACCTGTTCTGACATATGGTGCCCAGACGTGGACGTGTACCAAGAGTAACTTAGATAGAATAAAGAAAACTCAAAGAGCTATGGAAAGACAAATGTTGGGAATATCGTTGAGAGATAAAAAGAAAAACGAGTAGATAAGATGCAAAACCGAAACAACAGACGCTGTCGAATATGCATTGAAACTAAAATGGAAATAAGCTGGGCATAACGAAAGATATCAGGATGGAAGATGGAATAAAGAAATATACTGCAAAAAGGTCAAGAGGTCGACCGCAAATGAAATAGAAAGATGACATTGAGCAAAGCGCAGGTCCAATGTGAAAAAGATAAACAGAAGACAGAGACAAATGGAGGCAAATGGGAGAGGCCTATATTCAACACATGAATAGATTTTGGGCTATAGATAGATAGAATGGTAGTATGTAGAAGGCACTTATGTGTTAAAACATTACCCACAAGTATAAATACACCACCACTAAATATTTATTTTTTGTCTAGCCTAAGATAGACCAGTTTTGGCGTGGTTAGATGAAATTGAAGCAGAGAAAAATAAAAATAAAGACTCCTAATTGTCAGCAGATTCTGATGCCAATGATATGGCCTATGCTATTCGTAAACGTGATCCAGTTTATTTTGAAAAAGAAGTATAACAAAAAAATGTTATTAAAGAAATGTTAAATGTTCTCAAGAAGGTTAGGATTTTCTAGTAGTTCCTCCCGACACAAGTCTCAATCAGGTACATTTTCGTAGAAATCTATCATAAACAAACCACTGATATTTTAATAATGACAAAAAGTTTAGTTATAGTAGTCTGAATAATATCATGAGTAGAAGCATACAATTTACAAAAAAGCACAAATATGTGCAATTTACGAAAAAAGCTACAAAATGTGCAAAAAAGCATTTTGCCTATAACCCAAACTTTAGGTATTACATTATACCTACAAATAAATTGAATGAATAAAAGCTTTATTTTTGACAAAAGTTCTTTGTGTTTGTTTTACTTACTTTTATATTTACAAGACAAATTTCACCACTTTGTGTCCTTTTTAGTTGTTAGGTAAAACTAAAAAGATTAGTTTAAAAAGAGTTATGATATTGGACCGTTGAACCGAAAACACGTAAATATGGGAATACCCATCATCGACCGGATTTTTATAAAAACATTTTAAAATGGTAAAATATTGATTTATGTTTGTTTGTTGGAGATTTTTTTTATTAAAGTTGTTAAGGGATTATGAAGGAATGTTATGTCTTTAAGAAAATTTAAAAATCAATTAAGTAATACACTATATGCCCCGTTTTGAGTTTCAGACAAGTTATGAAATGTATTCAGCATTTAATTTAAAAGAGAAATATGTTTGAAAAATGTTATTAATAATTTTAGAGATGGCGTGAAAAGGGCACGTTTGACGCGTCAGACTGGAAAAAGGGCTTGCTCTTGATGTCAGACAATAATAGAACTTTTAGATTCCTCGTTAAAGCAAAGCATACAGAAAAAATTAGCTGGTTATTTATAATTTTGCACTGACCGTTTTTCTGTCATGTTTAGGGAGGTGGACACCCTTACCGTCCCATCTGTGGCGTCAGAGAAAATTATTTCTTTTATTATTCACTGAAATCAAGCCATTCAATAAATATGGCAAGAGTATGTATCATTTTTTAACATGTCGTGAAACGGTCATGTTTCGGACAATAAAAGGGGAAAACGCCCCCGAACCAAAATAAGTTACAAAGGAAAACTGTGGCAGACTTGGTCTAATTAAGCCGTACAAGAAGTTTCAAGAGAGTATAAATCTCTAAAAAATTTGCAACGTAGCGGGTAAAAGATCTAGAGGAAGGTATCCAGTATGATGGTCGGACCAAATAAAGGACATGACTGGTTACTCATTCTCCGAAGCATTCTCCAACACGCACAGGAGAGAGATAATTGGACAGAAATAGGCAAACAAATTACATGACGCCACTACATCCTTATGAAGGAGAAAATATTGAGGATGATAAATATGTTCAATTTTAAATTTATATTGCTACAAATTAAAAAACTTATTAGAAATTAAAAGACAAGTATTTTTAAACAAAAAATAATAATTTAAAAAAATAATAATTTAAAAAAATTAAATAAATTAAAAAAAAATTATAGTTAGTTTGGCTAATCTTATCCAAACAAAACTTAATATAAAAACTTACCAAACAAAAATCGTTTTCTTTCAACTAATTTTAACATGCACCACCAAAACAACTTTAACAAAGCAAAGTTGACTTCACATTGTCATCGTGGGCGCCGATTCTTGATGATATCGACAATAGTCCTTCAAAAGTAAAACCAGACTAACTAACACTACACTCTTCTGTCAGAGATAAATTAATTACCATAAGAATTTTAAATGGCTCATTAAAAAATCGTGAGTGATAAACAAACCTTGGTATGTGTTGCAACCTTAGTTTGGGAGTTAAAAGTAGAGTAGAGGATAATTGTTACGAGGATAATTCTATAAATTCTTAGTAAAAGATGTTTATAAAATAATAGCTCGTATATGCGAGCAGTGTACCCCTAATGAGACGCTTAGAATCGGAATACACGGTAATGATATTTCAGAAATTGAAGATATGATATGCACCTTCGGTGGCGATCAAGCTATCCTATTAGTTACAGAAGATCATAAAGAAGCTACAAGAAAATTATGAATCTCTGCAAAAAATTGCATTTACACCATATATAATATATAAAAAACAAATAATGATTTCGTCTTAATTTCGAAGACTTCTTCTTCTTCTTTAAGTGCCATCTCTCAATCGGAGGTTGAATATCATCATCACTATATTTACTTTATCTACTGCTGCTCTGAAGAGTTCTATAGAACTACATTTAAATTAGTCCCTTAAATTCTTCAACCATGACACTCTACTTCTTCCTATACTCCTTCCTCCTCTTATCTTTCCCTGTATTATCAGCCTTAGCAGTTCATATCGCTGTCCCCTCATTACGTGTCAAAGATATTGTAACTTTGTTATTTTTATTGTGTTTATTATTTCGCATTCTTTGCCCATTTTTCGCCATTCTTCCGTGTAAGGTTTTCTTCTGTGTCCATGCTATTCTAAGCATCCTAATGTAACACCACATTTCAAAGGACTGTAACTTATTTATGTGTTCTTGCTTCAATGTCCAGCTTTCAAATCCATGTTGCAGTATCGAAAACATGTAGCATCAGTGCTTTTACTATCAATTCTAATCTAAGATCTTTGTTGCAGAGAATTGCTTAATTTTTACAAACGCATTTCTTGCTATTTATATCCTAGCTCTTATTTCGGTTTACTTATTTACTCCGTAGTGTTACAACCCTTCGTGGGTTTTAGCCGACTCGACAACATGCCTCCACTGTTTTTTGTCTTGAGAAACCTCCATCCAATTCTCCACGCCCATAGTGCTTAGGTTTCCTGCTATATTATCTCGCCACCGGAGACGAGTGATCTCCTTTCAGTTGTGACTTTCTCCCAGACCAGTCTTACTGTTCGTTCGTCAGAATGTCTTCTGAGGTGTCCTGCCCATTGGAGTCTTCTGGACTTTATTTCTTTAATGATGTTGGAGTCTGTGTAAAGTTCTTCGAGCTCTTTGTTAGTTCTTATCCGTTCAGGATATTCTATCCAGGATTCTGTCTCTGCTTTGGTTATTAAAGCTCATATACATATATTTTATCTTGTTTTCGTTGATTTGGAGCCCCATCTTCTTTGTTTCCTTCTCGAACCTCGCGAAAGTCTCCTTCATCCTTAATCGTGTGTTTCCTATTAGATCAATATCATCTGCAAATGCCAGTAGTAAGTTTGGTCCTTCTCGATAAAATACTGTATTAGGTTTTTCGATTCTTGCACTTCTGATTATGTGCTCCAGAGCTAAGTTGAAGAATTATGATGAAAGTGCATCTCCCTGTTTTAGTCCATTGTTTATTTCAAATGTCTCCGAGTATTGTTGTCCAACTCTCACCTTACATCGTAACCGTTTCATACACATGTGTATCAACCTGACTAGTTTTTTTGGAGAGCTAAGTTCCTGCATCTCTGTCCCTGCATACTCTATCAAATGCTTGTTTAAAATCTATGAACATCTGATGAAGCTCACGATCAAACTCCCAGCATTTTTTCATTATCTGTTTTATTGTGAATATCTGATCAATAGTAGAGCAGTCCGGTCTAAATCCGCATTTATTATCTCCAACGATTTTTTTATGTATGTTTAGGTTCTTTCTAGCAGAATGTTTGCAAGGATTTTGTAGGTGGTATTTAGGAGTGTTATTCCCATGTAGTTAATACATTGCTTTTTGTTTCCTTTATTGTGTATTGATGTACAATTGCATTGTTTCTTCTTGCCAAATGTCTTGAATTAGCTTGTATACAGAACTGTACAACGCTTCTCCTCCATGTTTTAAGCACTCTGCGGGTATACCATCGCTACCTGGTGTCTTATTATTTTTAAGTTTTTTAATTACCTGTATTACTTCTTCGTATGTCGGGTATTGGTCTTCTATTTCAGCTGAATGTACCTCTATGTTTGATGTATTTCTGCTAGATTGGTCATTCAATAGTTGATAGAAGTATTCCTTCCAGGTTTTTAGGAATTCCTTGTCAACCTGTCATAAGCCTCATCTAATTTCGGTAATTTGATCATTATTATCTGAAATCCAGGTTCCTAGGTATTTGTATTTATTAACCCTTTCTATCGGTACATTTTTCAAATGTATGTTTGTTGGTATATTTGTTTTCTTTGTTATTATCATGTATTTGGTCTTTTTATATTCATTTTTAGTCCATATTTTTCACAGAAACTGTTTGTTTTGTTTAGCAAAACAAACAGTTTTTAGACAAACAGAAGCAGTAATTAGAGTTGTTCAGCAGAGCTTGACATAATCACAGCGTCATCTGCATATCTTATGCTGTTAATAGATCTTCCGTTACCTATTATTCCTTCACTTTATGATAGTAATGCTTCTTAAAAAATGGTTTCACTATATACATTAAATAGTAATGGGGACGTAATAACATTTCGACGACAATGAAGGTTATAATACCAAAAATTTCTCGGACAACACTGGTATATTTTTAATTATCGAACAATTAAAATTTTGGGAAGGTAAAATTATCAGGAAATAGTTATATAATAAATATCTCATTAACAGCCAAATACTTATATTGCATATCGTCTTTACGAGCCTATAAACACTTTTTGGGAGATTTTGAAAGGAAATTTGAGATTAAAAACTACTAATATTTGTTTTTACTATTGTGAAATACTTTTGGAAAGTCATTATTTAATTGATTTAATTGTTTAACAGGATGCCACATTTTGCAACCGTATAAATGATTAGGGAGACTCATTAATTAAATGTAGAGAAATTTTCTTGAATTTTTTTTTACCAAGACTTTATTTATGTACAAGGTGATCGACTTTATTCTTAATATGGTTCTAAGAATATTTTCTGGCGCCATTTTAATATTACCTATATTTATTAAGACATCACACTTTTTGAATATAATAAACAGATTCCAAATACTCTTCGGAAAAAAATTTCTTTTAAATTATAAAATTTTAAAAAAATAGCGATATTTGCCCCTGGAACTCATAAGGGAAATGGCAGTGACAGAAATTGAAAGAGCGTGCAATTAAGAAGACATAAATAGATGGGTGACAAAACGGAAATAGGAGTGGGACGAAAATATTAGTAGAATGGTAGAATAGGACAGTACAAATAGAACGAGATAAGTCACCAAATGGACGAAGAAGTATTTAGCAGACCAAGAAAAAGATGGTTCGACAATTTAAACAATTTAGGAGACTAATATTGAAGAAGAAACAGGCTTTAAAGCTAACATACAACAAGGAAGCAGAAAGAAGCATACGAAGGACAAGCACAAAAAACTGCAACTAAAGATGACGAACTGCGTTATTCACGAGAAAAGATGCTGAGTTAAGAGAGCTAAAAATTGTTATTTCTTCAAACTAACCATTTCCCTTATTAATAATATGTCCTTGTTGGTATGATTAAGAATGACAACTACAAGCTAGACTGGTATCATACTACTCTCACATACTACTATTCGATAGTATACTAATTATTAAACAACACTCATGAATGCATTAATAACGATTAAAATAATATGGGTTTTAAATACAATAAGAAGATCCCCAAGTATAGATATCTTGAGATAAAATAAGTAGATAAGAACAGTTTAACATCAAACAGCGGGATCTTAGTGAAAATCTCTATAAGACCACGTAAAATGTGGCAAATGGACTTTTATGTGTAAATTTTTAGGACATAATTCTAAACTAGATTCATACTCTAACAATAAAACTAATATTACAAAAGTTACTCCTTGTATTTATTATAAACTACTTTAAAATCAAAATAATGTACTTGAATAGAAAGTATACATTAAATGCTTTAAGATTGATATCTACTTAACGCTATCAAAATATATAATTATGCAGAATTAATAAGCTAGGAAATGCACTGCACACTTCGTTATAACAAACTAAAAAGAAAAAAGTAAATTTCAATAGGTCAATTGTAGCCAATTATTCTTATGAATTATTCAGACGACGAATGGTTTTCTTTGCAGTTCTGAAATAATATGTTTTAAACTAAATTTGACCAAAGACAGCCTTTCGGCAGATACAGAATAACAGACAATTTCAAGTTCGAGTTGACGGAACATATTCTCAAACAAAAATTCAACAAAATGGTATACCATAAGGATCAAACTTAAGCATAACTTTATTCTTAGTAGCAATAAATTCGATAGTAACACAAATTGAAAACCCCGTCAAAGCTAGACTGTACGCCGACGACCTAGTTATTTTCTGTAGAGGAAAAAACATAGCAACGATTCACAATCACATTCAAAAAGCGTTAGCACACATTAGGACATGGTCAGCTAAAAGTGGACTTCAGTTTCACACTTCAAAAACGAAAGCAATCTGTTTCTCAAAAAGAAATCAAATCCAAACAAAAGAATTATATCTACACGAACAAAAACTTGATTATGTAGAAGAAATCTGATTCTTGGGTATAACGTTTGATAAAAAATTAACTTGGAAGACACATATTCAACAGCTGAAAAAATCCTGTTTACCTGACATAAATCTATTACGATAACTTGCCTTTAAAAATTGGGGTGCTGATTATTCAAGTTTAATACTTATTTACAAATCCATAATTCGATCAAAACGTGACTATGGAGGTATCGTCTACAACTCCTCCAAAAAAACACATTTAAAGTCACTGGATATTATCCAAAATATATGTCTACGTATTTCTTTAGGTG